TTTCAGAGACCTACATGCTGCTTATCTAGAAGCTGTAGCTTGAAATGTCCCCAAGGTGGGCCCTTTAACTGTAGATACTGTGGGGAGGAGGGTCGAATTGGCAGCCATAGGAAAAGGGGAGTAATCCCTTGAGTTTGGGCCAGAGGTGGGGAATCTGTGGCCTTCTAGATCCTTGGGTATGGCCTTTATTTTTACAGAACAAATCCTTTTATGAAGAGGATTTCTTCTGTGAAATTTGGATTCAGTCAAAGGGTGGCACTTGAGGACTTAGAGGGCCACATGTGGCCTCGAGGCCGCAGGTTCTCTACCCTTGGTCTGGGCTCTGAAGGAGAAATCCCCTAGTCCGATGGGGTGGTGGCAGTAGAAAGAGGTTCCCAAACAGCCAGGGTCCCTTTTGTATCCTGAGCATTCTTGCATGACAGGGGCCACAATTACTCCTGGGCTTATGGGCACCAAGTAGTTTTGGGGAGGAGCCAGCAGCCTAGGGCAATGAGCTTTCCAAGGAGCATGGGAAGGAACCAGAGAAAAAGGACAAAAGAAGATAGAGACAGGGAGATGGAAAGGAGGGGAGGGGGCCAGAAGAGGCAGAAAGGAGGTTTTCCTTGGAGAACAGCAGGCAGGATGCTCATGGGGGCTGCCATGGGGGAGGGAGGCAGGATTAGGCCCTTTCCTTGGCTCTTTCCCAATGTGGGGCCACCTGGCCCAGGAGCAGCGGTTGTCCCCTCCCTTGCCCACCCCCTAGCTGAGCTTGCAAAGTCATGTGCAGACTCTTTTTCTAGAAGAACTCTTGCTGAAAGGGAGGCCTGCTGGGGCCAGAAATGGGCACCACCCAGGAATGCCTCACTGTCTCCCCTAGACAGGCATCTCCAAAGGAAAATGCCAAGGAAGTTGAGACTCATGGCCAAGGGCCCCCAGACCACAACGGGAAGCAGAATCCAGGCCCTGCTGCTGAATTGGGAGGAAGAGGAGCTGCTGCCTCCTCGCTGTGTGACTGCGGCCAAGTCCTTTTCCTTCTCTGGTCTTGGCTTCCTCTTCTGTGAAATGAGGGGGTTGGACAGGGGACCTCAAAGGTCTAGAGGTAGTAGGCTTTGTGCATAGGAGACATTCTGGGTGTGGCCCCGATGGGGGTCTCTTCCCTGCACTCTGGGTTTGGGGTACGCTGCAGCAGCTTGGGGCTTGGGGCAGCTAGGTGGTGCCATAGTACAAGAATGCCAGGCCTGGAGTCAGGAAGATTCACCTTCCTGAGTTCAAATCTGGCCACAGACACTTCCTAGCTGTGTGACCCTGGGCAAGTCACTTCACCCTGTTTGCCTCAGTTTCCTCATCTGTAAAATGAGCTGGGGAAGGAAATGGCAAATCACTCCAGTATCCCTGCCAAGAAAATCCCAAATGGGATCATGGAGAGTCTGACATGATTGAAACAACTAAGCAATAAATAGCAGCAGCTTGTGGCTTTCGCACATGCCCGGCTGGCAAAATGGAGGGGCACAGAAGACTGCCAGCCTCCTCAAGTAGCTCCCTCGTGTAGCTGGCCACCTTCTGGGCCCTTCTCTGTGGCAGTCTGCTGAGGGTAGGGTCAGATGCCAATGCTGAGCAAAACAGCCTTCAAAAGCTAACGGGGTGCCAGTTTTTGAGGCAGGCAAGACTTAGGCTTGGGTCCCAGCTCTACAGTGTCCTAGCTGTGTGACTCTGGACAGGTCAGTTCCCCTTTGGGAGTCTCAGTTTCTTTATATGTCAGATGGGGCTAATAATAAACACTTCTACTACCCACTTCACAAAGGACATATAGTCCTTAGAGGGTGAAAGAAACTTTTGTCATTGGCCCGTGTCTCAGTGCTAGGTCTGCAGTGAGGGTCTGCCCCTATCTGGGACTAACTTTGATCATGGGTACGAGAACTCAGGTGGAACACTGTTGCTGCTTTGGTGACTGCATGGGTCCCAAGACTCCAGTGAGGAAGGGGAGGGAACTGCCTCTCAATTTCCTCAGCTGCCTCACTGGCCTGGCCTTTATTGCCCCATTTAAACAGCATAGCTCCCCCTGGGAAGGCAGCAGCTATTACTATCCCTCCCCCAGCCCCAAATGCAATCTCTCCTTTTCTCTTTTTTTTTAACACATGGAGAAACCGAGGCTCTGAGAAAGGAAGCAACTCACCAGACATTACATAGCTAGTAATGAGGCCAAGCCCCAGGCCTGGAACTCAAGGCTTTGGCTCCCAGACTTGCAGTCCATTTTCCAAGGCATTCTGGGATCTTTTGCAGGCCAACCAAGGCAGGAGAGGCAGGAACCCCACTAAGGAAAGAAGGCAGGAGGAGAAGGGCCCCCCCCAAGAGCGGAGTGGAAAGGGGGGAGCAGGAGGAAGAGAAGGAAAAGTGATGTGATGGACAGGATGGTGAGTCAGGGCCAGGGGAAGGGAGGCTACAGTGAAATTGGATGTCTTTGTTGCCACCATGTGGCTGCTGACTGAGAGACAAGCTGTCCTGGGAGCTCTCCTCATGGCCTCCATGGCTCTGCTTCCCAGAGCCCCCCAGAGCTGGCAGAGTCTGAGAGCCCACGAGGCCCAAACCCCACTGGAGAAGGGACCTGGCCAAGGGTATCCAAAGAGTCAGGGGCATAAGGAAGGGCAGGAGCCAAGGTTCCTGCCTTCTCCTCCTTCCTGGTGCCTTCTAGGCCTCCTTTCAGGGCCTGCTGAGGGCTGCTACTCTGGGGATGTGGGCCTTGCTTACAGTCTCCCAGTACCCTGCATGAGCACAAAGGATGTGCTGGACATCATAAGAGGGAAGCAGTCAAAAGAGAGGCCTGGAGATGGAGCACTTGGGAAGATCTCATGCCAGCCAGTGGGCTAGCAAATGATAAGACGGGGCCAAGGGGAGCCTCCGTCTGGGCAGGTCAGAATCTGAGCCCCAGAGCTGGATCTGAAAGACCCTGGAGAGCGACAGGAACAACATACATGAGAGGAGGAGAAGGGATCCCTTGGCCCCAGGTGGCAGAAGCAACAGGCCAAGTGGCAGAGGCACAGACTGGGACTTCGCACGCCCATGGACACGCTCTCAAATATCCAACCTCCCAGTTCCTCAACGTCCTCACTTCCCAAGACCTGGTCCTCCACTCTACTCCTACCACTGCTCTTTACCCTCACAGTGACCTCCAGTCTTTAGACTCCTCAGGGCATCAGCCCTTTCCTGGCTACCCTCTGCTCCCTTCCCTAGCTCTACTCTGTCCTCTCCTCTAGAAGCCCTTGCCCCCTGGGCTTATTGCTTACCATGACTTGCCAAGCTACACCCCATCATCTGCCATGTTTGCTCCCCATCACAAGTGGAACAGGTGAAAATCACCAAACTGCTGACCGGACCCACTACAAATACGTCACCTGATCGCAGCTGGGCACTCCCTACGGCACCTCTCCACGGTGGCCCAGTCTCCAAAGATGCCCTTGCAAAGCTCCTTTTGCTCCTTAAAGCCCCTCCCTCAAGCTGAGGAGCCCTCCCCCACCCCCATCTCCCATTACTCAGGCATCTTCCTGCACTGTGTCCTCCTTTACTCCTGTCTCTGAAGAGGTAGTGCCTCATTCCAAGCCAGAGCCAAAGCCAAAGCCTCTCCATGCATCCTCAGGCCTCTGCCCTGCCCTCCTGGCCAGCACATTGCCCCGTTTCTCATCTTGACCCTCAGATCTTCGGTCTCTGCCTATGTACTCACCTTCTATAGGAAGCCTTCCCCAGCCCCTTTTAATTCTTTTGCCTTCCTCTGTTAATTATTTCCTATTACCTTTTTGGTCTCATCAACTCCCAAGGGGTTCAATGGTCATTTCTGGGCAGGTGATTCCCAGATCTATATACATCAGCCCTAATCTCCCTCCTGAATTTCAGTCTTGTTTCACCCCCTCACTGCCTTTGGACATCTCAAACTGGATGTTGTAAAGTTTCTCAAATTCCACCCCACTCTGGGTCTTTCCCCCAAATCCTCACTTCTTCCTAATGTCCTTATTATTGTCAAGGCTTCTCCAGGCTCACAACATCAGCATCGTTCTTGACTCCCCAGCCAATCTGCTGCTGAGGCCTATTGATTTGGCCTTCACATCTCTCAGATACACCCCCTTCTCTCCTCTGACACTGCCACCCCCAACGCAGGCCCTTAGCACCTGCTGGTTAAGCTTCCTGCCACAACTCTCTCCCACACCAGTCTATCCCAAAACATAGGTCTGACCATGTCGCCACGATCAAATAAAAGTCCTCCATTTGGCCTTAAAACTTCTACAACCTTGTCCCTTCCTCCTCCCTTTTAAGTGTTATACTTTACTTCCCTCCATGGACTGACTATAATCTAACCACATTGGCCTTCTGCTGTCCCTTGAACACGACATCCTATCTCCCATCTCCAGGCCTTTGCATTGGCTGTGTCCCAGGCCTGGAATGCTCTCCCTCCTCCCCTCTGTCGAGGAGTTTTCCTTGGTTTCCTTCTAGACTCAGCTCTGAGATCCCCTTCATGGATCTACTTATCTTTATGTTGTCTCCTCAGCTAGACTGGGAACTCCTTGTGGGCAGAGAATGTGTTTTTGCCTGTTGGTGTCTCCCCAGCGCTTAGCACAGCACCTGGCACAGCACCTGGCACTGATGAAATCTTCGCTAAATGCTTGTTGAATGACTAAAGCTTGATTTCAGGAGAAATTTTCAATCAATGGGAGCTATCCCAAAGTGGAACAGACAGCCTGGGGCACCTTGAGAAGAATCTGAATGGCCTCTAGTCTGTGATATGGTCAGATGCGGCCTCAGAGATTCCTTCCAACTTGAGGACTCTCCAGGTCTGATAGCCTAGGAATCCCCCCCAAGCAGGTCTGAGGTCCTGGGAATCTGCCTCCCTCAAGAAGGTCTGAGGTCTTGGGAATCCCCCCTCCAGGAGACCTTATGGCCTGGGAATCCCTCCTCCTTCCCTGCCCCACCCCACCCCTCCCTGTCCCTACTACTCCCCTCTTCCGGCACACTGAGGCCACTTGGGTACCTCTTACCTAAGTGAAACTGACTGGAGGCATTCCCACAGGTCTGCATCACCTCAGAGCTGTTCCAGCCTAGGGGGTACAAGGCACAGCCTGCACCAATCAGCAGACCTAGGACAAAAACATATATACTGGAGAATGGGTTGAGAAGCCCCAGATCCAGTCCACCTCCTCCAGGAAGCCTTCCTTGATTACTCCCAGCTACCCTGTTCTTTCCTTTTTCAGATCTGCCATAGTCTCAGTCATGCATACCATGAAAATAGTCAAGGTGGTGATCTAAACAGAACCCAGTGAGTAATGTAGGCCACTGAGGGGGGACCTGCTTGTTAGTAAGACCTGGCCAGACCTCTGCCTTGATAGGAAACATGTCTCTTCCATCACCCCCAAGGACTGCTGTGACCTACCACCAAGCTTGACTCTGTCAGAGGCTCTGGTGGGGAGTGAGGCACATGCTGACCTGGCTCAGGTGTTCAGACAGCTGGGTGAAGCACCAAAGAGAGGAGTCCCAGACCTCTTCTGTGCTCCTCTTTTTCCTGAGGAAGCATCAGGAATCATCTCTGCATGGAAGAGCCTCGCTCTCCATTCAGATTGCTCCCACCTTGGGAGGATGTCAAAGCATCTTCTAAACTAGACAGAAGAAACTGGGTAGAAGCTTCAGCAGAACTAAGTGTACGGCATCAAGGACGACTCCCTGACAGGAACGCAATGAGTAAGCAAGGGAAATGATGACGTCTCCTTCATGGGATAGCTTTAAAAATAGATGAGATTCTCTCCTGTGGACGATCACTTCATTGTGGTATTTTTGCCTTGAGGATTGGGGGTAGCTCAGAGAGTAACATTTCCACTTCTCTCCAATGAGAACAAGATCCCAGCAACTCTGTGAAGTAGGCAGTGCAAGCATTAGTATGCCCATTTGATGGATGAGAAAACTGAGGCTCAGAGTGGAGCAGTCACTTACTCATGGGCACAGAGCTTCTAACTGTCAGAGCCAGGATCCAAACTTAGCTCTCCTGACTCCTGAGGCTACAGCACTTCTGACTTCAGTATGCTACCTTCCTTCTCAAGGAGGGGGCTGTGGTTCACCCACTGGGAGCACCAGAGGCTCAGGGCCAGGCTGTAAAGGTAGACCAAAGCCAGGCTCCTCTGCCCAGTGCCCATGCCTACTGTCATCCCAAAGAGCAGCTCAAATTGCCTGGAAGCCAAAGAGAAGCAAAGCTGCCTTCCGCCCCAGGCCCCAGGCCCCAGGCCCAGCTTCTCAGGGAGCAAAGAGGGTTCTGGTCAGGTGCCCTCTTAGCTACTGAGCCCAAGGCTAGAAGAGATCTGCAGGAGCCTGGACAAAAGAGGGGAAGGGGGGGGGCAGAGCCAAGATGGCACAGGGAAAGCAGTGACTGTCTTGAGCTCTCTCCCAAAGCCCTCCAAATACCTAAAAAAAAAATGGCTCTAAACAAATTCTAAAGCAGCAGAACCCACAAAAAGAGTGAAACAAATTTCCAGCCCAAGACAACCTGGTTGGTTGATCAGAAAGGTATATTGTGCTGGACAGGGAGAGGAGTGCAGTGCGGCATGGGTGCGCAGGCCACAGCGAACCTGGAGCAGGCCTCAGAGGACTGAATTGGTGGCAGCTGTGGCAGTTTCCAGACTTCTCAACCCCTGAACGCCAAAGACAACTTAGAAGGCCAGTGGGAAAAGTCTGTGTCTGCAGTGAGAGAGGAGCTAGGTCTCAGCTGCAAGTCTCGAAGGTGGCCTGGGGCCACGGCTTTTTCCTGAGCTCCCGGCCCACAGACTGAGGGGGAATCAAGTGGCTGATCAGAGGGGGATTGCAGGGATCTCTTTGCCAGCACTGAGGCAGGAATCCCTTGCTTTGCCCACGCTTGGATCTGGGTCACAGTTATCTTACTTTGGTGACAAAGAAGATCAAAACATACAACCAGAAGAAGACAACAAAGCCAAAGCTCCTACATCCAAAGCCTCCAAGAAAAATATGAATCAGTTCCAGACCTTGGAAGAGCTCAAAAAGGATTTTGAGAAGCAAGTAAGAGAAGTAGAGGAAAAACTGAGAGTGATGCAAGAAAATCATGAAAAACAAGTCAACAGCTTGCTAAAGGAGACCCAAAAAAATACTGAAGAAAATAACACCTTAAAAAATAGCCTAACCCAAATGGCAAAAGAGGTCCAAAAAGACAATGAGGAGAAGAATGCCCTAAAAAGCAACATTGGCCAAATGGAAAAGGAAGTCCAAAAGATTACTGAAGAAAATACTTCCTTAAAAATTGTAATAGAGCAATTGGAAGCTAGCAACTTTATGAGAAATCAAGACACCATAAAACAAATCCAAAAGAATGAAAAATTAGAAAACAAAGTGAAATATCTCATTTGAAAAACAACTGACCTGGAAAATAGATCCAGGAGAGAGAATTTAAAAATTATTGGACTCTCTGAAAGCCATGATCAAAAAAAGAGCTTAGACATCATCTTTCAAGAAATTATCCAGGAAAACTGTCCAGATATTTTAGAACCAGGGGGCAAAATAGAAATTGAAAGAATCCACCAATCTCCTCCTGAAAGAGATCCCCAAAGGAAAACTCCTAGCAATATTTTTGTAGCCAAATTCCAGAGTTCCCAGGTCAAGGAGAAAATACTACAAGCAGCCAGAAAGAAACAATTCAAGTATTGTGGAAACACAATCAGGATAACACAAGATTTAGCTGCTTCTACATTAAGGGACCACAGGGCTTGGAATATGATATTCCGGATAGCAAAGGAGATAGGATTACAACCAAGAATCACCTACCCAGCAAAACTGAGTATAATCCTACAGGGGAATAAATGGTCATTCTGTGAAATAGAGGACTTTCAAGCATTCTTGATGAAAAGACCAGAGTTGAATAGAAAATTTGATTTTCAAATACAGGACTCGAGTGGAACATGAAGAGGTAAACAGGAAAGAGAATATCATAAGAGACTTATTAAGTTTGAACTGTTTACATTCCTGCATGGAAAGATGATATTTGTAACTCATGAGACCTTTGTCAATATTAGGGTAGTCGAAGGGGAAAAAATTATATGTACGTATATATAGATATAGATAGATAGATAGAGGGCACAGGGTGAGTTGAAAATGAAGGGGTCATATCTGGAGAATAAAATTAAGGAGTGAGAGAGGAATATACCAGGAGAAGGAGAAAGGAAGAGGTAGAACGGGGTAAATTATCTCACAAAAAAAAAACAGAAAAGAAAAGGCTCTTACGGGGAAACGGGAAGGTGAGAGGGAATGAGTGAATCTTATTCTCATAGGATTTGCCTTAAGGAGGGTAAAACATACACACTCAATTGGGTGTGGAAATGCGTCTTACCCTACAGGAAAATAGAGGGGGAAGGGGACAAGAGAGTAGGGGAATGATAGAGAGGAGGGCAGATTGGGAAAGGGGGTAATCAGAGGCAAATACTTCTGAGGAGGGACAGGGTCAAAAGAAAGAATAGAATAAATGGATGGGTGGGATAGGATTAAGGGAAACAGAGTTAGTTTTTCACAGCATGTCTACTATGAAAGTGTTTTGCATAACTGCACATGTATAGCCTATATTGAGTTGCTTGCCTTTTCAATGAGGGTGGGTGGGGAGGGAGGAAGGGAGAAAATTTGGAACCCAAAATTTTAAAAACACATGTTTTAAAAAAAATGTTTTCACATGCAGCAGGAAAATAAGAAATACAGGAAATGGGGTACAGAAATCCATCCTGCCCTACAGGAAAATTGAAGGGGAAGGGAATAAGAGAAGGGGGGAAAAGATAGAAGGGAAGGCAGACTAGGGGAAGGGGTATTTAGAATGCATGCCATCTTGGGGTGGGGGGAAGGGCAAGATGGGGTGAAAATTTGGAACTCAAAATCTTATGGAAGTAAATGTTGAAAACAAAAAAATAAAAAAAATTACCATTAAAAAATTTTTTTAAAAAAAGAGGGAAAAGGACTGGTTCAAGGTCCCCCGAAACATGAATGGTAGAGCCCCAGGCCCTATGGTTCCTCCCAGCCCTCTCCAAGGTGGGGCTCAGTTGCCAAAGGCTTGAGAGGAAATAGTAACAGTTAGGTTGGCTCTACCCTGTGCCCCCTGTTCCAGGCTTCATTCAGCTTCCTCACCCTACCTTCCCTTTCCTTCTAACTGTGCCCTAGATGAGGCTCCACAAGGGACCAATCAGAGTGTGCCCAGCTTGACACAAAGGTGATTCGGGGGGAGGGAGGCACCACCATCCCTTGTGTCCATCCAGGGAAAGGACACCAAGGGTAGCCATCCGGTGGGAGAAGGCTAAGAGAGCAGAGAAAACATGCATTTCCACCCAGCCATCTGCCTTGTAACTCTCAATTAATTCCATTATGTTTGCTCAAAAGGGGGAGGCCAACTCTTCCGTGCACGTTTAAAAAGCAAAATGAAGTCCAAGGTCAATTACATGCAAGTGTATTGGGAATCCATAGCATCTCACACACTTCTGTAAGAGGCTGGAGAACTGGGGTAAATTGCAACAGGCTGTGGCATGCTGGGCCACATCCAGAAAGCGTCTCCACGACCACCGCGGGCAGAAGGACAGGAAGGGGAAAGAACAGGGAGGCCAGGGAGTCGGACTGGATTCCTCACTGTGGCTCACCGACTTTGGGTGACCTTGGCCAAAGGATTCTATGTTTCCTAGGCTTTCATTTCAAAGCAAAGATCACACAAAAGTAGCCATACTGTAGGATCCTAGGTGCTAGTGCTGAAAGGGACCTTGGAAACCTACTCATTAAACAGAGGAGGAAACCGAGGCTGAGAACAATTATGGAACTTGCCCGATGTCAAATGCATAGGGCAGGATTTGAATCCAGAGTCTCTGCCTCAAAATCTAGGGTTCTTTCTCCTTTACCATGAGTGCAGCAAGGATGAAAGAAATGGCAATGCCTGTTGGGACTCTGGAGGCTTTCAGAGAAGATGGGAGGAGGCATTGCTAGGAAGCCCTAGCTCCATTCTGAGGAGTCCAGGCACACGGCTTCCAATGGCTATGTCAGGGTAGAGATTCCATTCAATGTAATTCAACAAGCATTTATTATGTTCTTACTATGTGCCAGGCATGGTGGTATCTGCTGGGGGGGGCGAAGGTCCAAATGCCAAAAGTCAAAAGGTCTTTGCCTTTCAGGAGCTTACATTTTATCAGGGGAGATAACATGCACACATATAAATCTACAAAGTATATACAAAGCTATTTTGGGGGGTGGGGGAGAACTCTACCAAGTGAGGGATTCAGAAAAGGCCTCATGCACATAGATGACACCTGAACTGAGCCTTGAAGGATGCCAGGGATTCTATGGGGCAGAACTGAGGAGAGGTGGGGAGGAGGAGGGCATGCCAAGCATGGGAAACAGCATGGATAAAGGCATAGAGGCAAGAGATGAATGCCACTTGCAGGAAACAGAAAGGACTCTGGTTTAGCTGGAAAGTGATGTCTGTGAAGAGGAGTAATGGGAAACTGGTCAGAAAAGCTTTGCATGAAAGGGCAGGAGAGATTACTAGGGAGCCAGTGGAGCTGGGCAAGGAGGGGGTGATGTGGTCAGAACTGTGCTTGAGGAATGCCATCGTGGTAGCTCAATGGAGGCAAGGAGACTGATCGGGAGGCAACTGTGATAGTCCTAGAGAGTGGGGCTGGTGTACTGACTTTGTGAGTGGAGAGGAGAGCACGCATGTGAGAGATAGTAGAGGAATAGAATCAACCCGATTTCACAGCTTTTTGGATGTAGGAGCCACGGATCATGGAAGGAGAAGGCAGAATCAAGGCTGACTCCAAGGCTGTGAGCCTGGCAGGCCAGAGGGATGGTGGGCCCCACAACAGGAACAAGGAAGTGAGGTTTGGGGTGCAACAGAATGAGTTCTGTTTAAGGCATGTCAAGTTTGAGCTGTCTACGGAACGTCCAGCTGGAGGCGTCCAAGAGGCAGTGATGCAGGCCTGGGGCTTAGGAAGCAGACCAGGGCTGGAAGTTTGGGTGTGGAAATGACAGTTGAAACCTTGGAAACCATTAGAGCGCCAAGGGAGAAAGTACAAAAGGTTGGTGTCCTTGACAGAGCCAGAGATAGGGCTGTTTGGGATGATCAGGGCTGGGAAGGCGTACTGTAGCCACACATGGAGCTCAGAGCCCAGAGGGCAGGGCTGGCTTCATGGATCCAAATGGGGGCCTCAGCACGGCTGGAGTAGAGGCCTGGCAAGTCACCCCTCAGACTAGAGCCACATCTGGGATGCTCTTTAAGCTCTTTTACTTGTGGTAGGAGAGGAAGGGTCCTTTACATCACCCAGCCTGTGCCCCACTCTGAGGCCAGTCAGGCACTTCCACAGAGTGTAGTTGAGCTGCAAGGGCTGGGGCCTGGAAGGACCTTGGGAAACCAGTTTAAATCTGTGCTCCAGAAAAAACAGTAAGACTTTCCTGTGTAATGCTGCTACGGTTGTTCCGGGGGATTTGTCTTGCCATCATAGCTGAAAAGGAGGCCCTAGCAGCTGTTGGTAGCAGTCCCCACCTGAGGCCCCACCTCAACCAGCTGCTGCCTTCTTCCTTATGGGAGGAGTGGATGGTGGCCACTGATCTGGAGGTGAAATGTGCCCCGTATTTGTCTCTCTCCCCCCACGGGCTGGAGCAGCTCCCTAAGGTGCTGTTCCACCCCATGAGCCCCTGCTAGAGTAGCAGGGGGGATCTGTGGGGGGAGGGCTGTGGGGGGGTGTGCTGGGGTCACCTTGTCTGGTCTGACTCTGGGCAGGAGCAGCTCCTGACTCCTTCCTGCATTTGGCTCCCACATCTCATCTCCGCGGTCAAGGGCTTGGCAGAGAGAACGGAGACTGGGTCCTTAATGGATGTTCTCTCAGTGGTTTGGGGGCCCATAGACATGAATCTTCCCTGGACGTAATTGGCTCCTTGGCTGATGTATTTTGGTTAATGCACACACTGCCGAGAAAGTGCAGGACCCAGGACAAAATCAATCTCCCTCAGCTGACCTGGGGGCTGGGGAAGCCCACCTCCTGTCTCTCTAGTGTCTTCCTTCCTTGGCACACAACTGGCTGCCTTCCCACCCAGGAGGAAGCTGGCCTCTGGGGCTTGGATGGCCAGCCTGTATCTGGTACCCACATAGTGTTTCCTAAGTGACACCCTAGGGTACCGCTGTCCCAGGGCAGTGCCATCCCCACATCTCAGCGAGCCTTGTCAGGTACACTCCTAGAAAAGGGGAATTTTACAAATGGGGAAGTTGAGGCACAGAGAAGAGAAGGCAAGTGGGAAGAACGAGGCCCCTAAGAGCTAGGACCAGACTGCCAAGTCTTGGTTTTAAGAAACATGGAGGACTGGAAAGAGCCCTGGTCTGAGGCTAGCTCCGCCATGACTTCCATTCTCTCCCTTGTGTGCTCCATCCTTCACGCCGCTACCAAAATACTCTTGCGATCTGGCCATGTCACTCCCTCGCTCAGCTGGCTTCTAGCTAGGATAAAGTACAGGTTCCTAATGCCGGCATTTAGAACCCTTCTGAAAGGACCATGGCTTTACTTACCCACCTGTATATAGTTGTTTCCCCCCACCATGTTAATGCTTCCTCCATTCTCGGGTTACCTGGGACTTAGCCAGGAAGACCACCTTTCTCAGCCTCAGGATCCTCATACTTGCACTACCTCTTTCCCCCAGAAATGTGCCACATCCACCCTCATTTGGATGAACATGGAAGAGCTGACTTCATAATCCCACCCCCCACATTTATTAGCTGTGTGACTCTGGTCAAGTTACTTAACTCTCAGTTTTCTCATCTGGAAAATGGGGATAAATATAGCACTTAGTTCCCAGGGTTGTTGTGAGGATCACATGAGATGATTGTAAAGTGTTTTGCAAACCTTAAAGTGCTTAATGGTAGTTAGTAATTGTATTATTATTATTATTGGTACTTCTCTCTTTTCCATTCTGCCACCCTCAGCTCAGTGCTTGAGCCAAGCCCTAAAGGAGACTAGGGATCCTCAGAGATGAAGATCCTTCCAGAAGTGAGGACCAATGCATTCTGGGCATGGAGGGCAGCCTGTGCAAAGGCAGGGGTGGAGATAGGAGATGGAAGGCCCAGAATGAAGATCTCTAATTGGCCAGTTTGGTCAATGAGGATGATGATGGTGATGGTAATGGTGATGGTGATGATGATGGTGATAATGAGGATAATGATGATGATGGTGATGGTGATAATGATGATGAGGATGATGATGATGATGATGATGATGATGGTGATGGTGATGGTGATGAGGATGGTTATGGTGATGATGATGATGATGATGGTGATAATGAGGATAATGATGAGGATGATGATGGTGATGGTAATGGTGATGATGATGATGATGGTGATAATGAGGATAATGATGATGATGATGATGGTGATGATGATGAGGATGATGATGATGATGATGATGATGATGATGGTGATGGTGATGGTGGTGATGATGCTGAGTGTGTAATAATACTGGAAAGCTAGGTTTGGGCCAGGTTGTAAAGGGCTTTCAAAGCCAAATAGTCATTCCTTGAGGTGAAAGTGAGCCACTGGAATTTAAGCTGGGAGTGACATGGTCACACTTTTGCTGTAGTAAAATGGGTCCTATTGTTATCCCAGAATAAGGGAACTGAGGTGAAAACACTTGTCTAGGCTCACAGAGCAGCACTGGCTGGCCTCCTTTTCCAGGGCAGCCCTCTCCCTAAGCTCTTCCTTTGGCAGCCCATTCCCAGCCAAGGCTGACCCCAGGGCCACAGCCAGGTATGCAAAGGATGGGAAAGAACTCCCCCAGATTTGTATATGATTTGCAGGGGGCTGCCTGCGTATCTATTCTCAGACAATACCAGCTAGATGGGATGAGGTTCCTCTGAAGCCCATGACCGCATGCCTCTCCTCTCTGTTCTTTGTCACCCTCCCACCTGTGGCCATGGCCAGGGCCATGCAGCCAGGGCCCCTAGAGTAGATGAGGAACCCAAGTGAAGCAGGAGATGACAGGGTTCCCAAGCTCATAAACCCAAAGGAGCTAGGCCAAGGCCCTCATTTTACAGAGCGGGAAACTGAGACCCAGGCACTGGGAAAGGCCCCAGAAAATGTGTGCAGGCCCAGCAGTGGCCCCAGAACAGGGTGAGCCTTCCAAAGAAGTGGGGCAATCACAATGACAATGATAACAGTAATAACATCACTAACCGTGACAATAACGAGGGTAACGCTAACACATTTATGTAAGTAAGTTTGCAGAACCTATGAGCTTCTGGCTCTCACTCCAAGTCTCCTAACAAGCCTGTCAGGCAGGTACAAGTTTACTGTCTTCCTCACTTGACCAATGAAGAAGGGAAGGCACGGACTCCAGCCCAGACACTGGAGGTTGGACTCCAGCCCACGGCAGCTTCCTGACCAAGTTCAGCACTAATCTCTCTAGCAGGCTTTCTCTCTAGAGAGGCCTGGGATGGCTGGAGCAGACCGGAAGGCCCCTTCCCTCCCCCTCATTTCTCCCCTGCTGGGTTGACAAGATGTCTACAATTCTATCACTAGAGAGTCATTCATTTAGCTGGCAGCTAAAAGTCATACCTTGGGGTGCAGGGATTTATAGGAGATAGACTCTGCCGGATGGGGGCCTACCAGAGCACAAGCCTACAGAGAAGACTGGGTACCTTCAGGGAAGCAGCAGATAGAGGAGGAGAGGAGCCCAAGGGGGCAGCAGTAATGATGCCTCCATTAACCTGCCACGGGTGATACACAGGCCTTGATGAAGGCAGCCCCTCCCCAGCCCACCCGTTCCTCTGCCCCAGCCTTACCTCCCACAAACTGGGCTGCTCCCATGCATCGGCCCATGATCCTGGAGATGAGCTCATCCATGCAGCAACCCAGGATGGCCCCCAGTGCCACCAGGAGCAGCAGGGCACAGCCTGTGCCCGTCACCACGGTGCACATCTGCCAGGCCAGGCTGGGGATGGCGTTAAAGTTGGCATAGCGGCCACACTCTTCCACCATCACCAGGCTGCGCCCTTCACCTCGGACAGGGTAGTTACAACGCCGGAACATGCTGAAGGACACTGGCTTCCCGAGCTGGGAGCCAAAGAGCCAGTAAGGTAGGAAGTAGCTGGTGGTGCTGGCCACAGCAGTGAGCAGAGACAGCACGGCCCAGAGGATGCCAACCAGGGTCAGGCTGCCCTTCATGCTTTCAGAAGGCCGAGTGGGACCACCAAAGGCTGCAAAGAGCTTACAACAGTCACACATGAACCCTGCCTGCCAGCTGAGGCCTGATGGGGAGGCCGATCCTGAGGGCAGACCGAGATCCACTCCTCCTCTAGCCGAGGCCCTTCTCCTCTGGAATAGAATTCTGCCTGGTCTCAGGCCCAAGGCCTTCTCCTGTGGCTGGTGTGGTGGGCTGCTTCTCACTGGTGCTGCGATGGGAGAGGTACAGAACTGTGTTAGTAGCTACCCTGTCCTCCAGCTCAAATTCAGGGTGCTGGGTGGGGGCAGGCAGACTTTTCATCAGCCCAGGCAAGCAACAGCCTCTGTCCATCCTAAAGCCTCCCATAGTCCAGCTACAAGCCCCCTTTCCAGGCTGATGGCACATTCCTCTCCCTGCTTTCCCCCACACTCCCTGCCCAGTCCACACCTCATCTGCCACCTCTGTGGCTCTGCATTGGCTGTCCCTCGGGTCTACGGTCTGCACCCTTATCACCGCCCATGGTTCTTCAAAGTTCAGCTCAGCCGCTCCCTCCCATATGAGGCCTTTCCTGAGCCCCCAGTTGCTAGTGTCCCTCCCTCTGCCCCCACCCCATCAACATTACTTGTATTTATTCTCTCTACTAATGTGTGTGTACGTATAAATCTTTAATCACTGAAATAAATAGCTTCAAGAGCTTACAACTCCACTAAAACTCCTAGAACAGCCGGTAGGCCTTTGAAGGCAGGGCACATTTCACTTTGGTGTCTATATTCCCAGCGCTTGGCATACCGTGCCTGGCATACATCCAGTGCTTAATAAATGCTGGGACTGAATTGACTGGGGGGCGGGGGGAATCATGTAGCTCCCATCCATGGGCAGCCAGAAAGCCTCCTGCTTCCTGTGCGGCTGCTCAAAGGAGGCCCACCCACCCCCCAGCCTGACAGGTCCAGAGGGAAAGTGCTGACAGTCACTGAGAGATGTCTCGGGAGCTCCTGCCTCCCCAGCAGGTTAATGTCTGAGGAATGCCCCCTTCTGTCCTCAGGCCCCACTATGTGCCAGGCAGGCACTGTGCTAAGCACTTTACAGATATCATCTTATTTGATCCTCATAACTACCCCGGGATAGAGGTGCTATTATTATCCCCATTTTACAGGTGAGGAAACTGAGGTGGAGGGTTGCCTCTCTAAAGGTTACTAAGAAGAGTTGTTATTTCTACTTCACTTGGGCCTCCCAACGACCTCATGAGGTAAATACTGTGAGGATCATTATTCCCATCTTACAAATGAGGAAACTGAGGCTCAGAAAGGGACTGACCACACAGCTAGTAAACTTTTGAAGTGAGATGTGAATCTGGGTCCTTTCTGATCCTCACAACAACCTTGTGAGGTAAACACTACAGGGATTAATAACCCTCTTTACAGATGAGAAAGAAAGTGAGTTACTTGTCCATGACCACTTAGCTAATAAGTACCTGGGGAGAGATCCCGATGCCTCTGCTAGAATGTGCCAATAGCAAGGTTCTGTTGTCCTAGGGCTGGAGGGAAGGAGGGGGAGGGAAAGGCCGTGGTGAGGGAGAAGGGAGAGAGGGGGACAGAGAGATCAGAGACATCAAGAGCCTGGGGATGCCAAGGGCCAGCATCCTCTTGGTCTACAGAGATGGGCATCATTCAGAAGAGCTTCCCTGAACACGGGCCTGGAAGGGACCTTCCCAGGTCAGCCACTCTATTCCCCTGCTTCTGCTTATAAGGCAGGTGCCGATTTTTAAAGGGCCTCTCAGCGGTCTGTGCTGCTGTCAGTAACACTCGCTGCCGATGCCTTCTTTGTTAGGGCCCTTCTACATCTCTCCCACTACAACTAATGGCCATCCCCTCTCGTTGGGTGCTTAGCAGAAAGAACCAATAGCTGGTCTCTGTACATTCCTAGAGTCTCCAGACCCATACGAGACATCTACCAGGTCATTAACAAGCTCCGAGTGTCCCCAAACATCCATCGTCTGCCACCTGCCCCCTACTTCCCTGCTGGTTTCTGCTGCTGAGGGCATCACCTCATTTCTCCCCCCGAGTCACCTTGGATTCTTCCCTCTTCCTCACTGGCCATCACCAATCGGGTGCCAGGGCCTGCGGCTTCTGCCTTTACTGTAGCTTGTCTTTCAGTTCCGCTCCCCCAGATACCACCCTTGTGTTGGCCTTCACCCTCTCTCGCCTGGATTATCGGAATCGTTCTCTGCTTCCAGTCTTCCTTCTCCTGTGAATCCTCCATATGGCTGTCTCAGATACAGATCTAATCAGATCAGTCCCCTGCTGAAAACTCTTCTGCGGCTCCCAGTCACCTTTGAGTAAAGTCTAAATGCCCTAGGCTGGCACTGAAGGCCTCTATCTACCTGTTCTGTAGTCTGTACTGAAACTGGTGTCTGTGCTGTTAGATGAGCCCAGAATTCTGACTCCTGGCTCTGCCTTGCAGAGGCAGGGCCCCATGCTCACCGTGCCCTCCCTGCTCTCTTCTGCCAGTAGAATTCTTAGCTTCCTTCAAGGCCTAACTCACCATGCTACCTCCTCCAGGAAGCCTTCCTGATTTCCCCAGTTGTTAATGTTCCCCCCCTTCTCTAATCACCTTATAGGCACTGTGTGCATAAATTCATTAGGCCAGGGAAACATAAATTTCTTAAGGGAACAGACTGCATTTAATTTCTTTTTTTTATTTTTGTTTTTGTTTTTGTATTGCTGGGGCCTAACACAGGCTCTTGTATGCTGTATGACAGAATCATAGAATTTCAGGGGTGGAAATCATCGCCAACTAGGTTGATCCACACTGGAACAAGAGTCCTGTCTACAATTTCCCCCACTAGAGGTTGTCCAGCATCTGACTGAAGCCTTCCATTGAGGCAGGAGAGCCCCTCCATCCCCTTCGGGGTAGCCCAGGCCACTTGGGACTTGCACATTGTTAGGAAGTTTTCCTGATATCCAGCCAAAGTCTGTCTCTCTGCCATGACCCTCGCTCCATCTACTCCCATAACTCATGTGTCCCCCCCTAAACCTTTAACCCAGGCCTGCACAACCTGTGGCCTGTGGGCAGCTAATGGCCAAAGGATTTCTGGTGGCCCATGAGAAAATGTAGAGGATGTTTTCCTGTACATTTTTCGCTGGCCACCGGAAATCCTTTGGCAGGCTGCAGGTAGCGTAGGTCTGCTTTAACCAGTCACAGAGCATGGACGTAGAACCTTTCCCCATCCTGTTTGCTCCCCCCCCTCCCATATGCTGTCTATGTCCTTCCTAAACTGTGGTGTCCAGAAGTGACCCCATGCTCCAGAAGTGACCTGAGCAGAGCAGAGGATGGAGCGACGATCCCCTCCTTATTCCTGGACACTCTTTTTAATGCAGCCCAAGATCAAATGATCTAGGAGGTTGGGGAGTGGAGGCTTCCCTATCTCACTATTGTCTCATGGAGCTTGCAGTCCACTCAAATCCCCAGATCCTTTTCAGAAAAACCACCACGTTACATTGCTGCCTCCATCTGGTACAGAAGGCCTCCCCCCTCCCGTTAGTACCCCGTCCTTCTTGCGCTAACTTGGTAATACTTTGTATTTTCTGACTTCAGTACAACAAGGATTATTGCAACCTCCAGTAGAATGTAAACTGAGAAGAGGCAGGGCCTTTGTTTAGCTTTGGTTTCTCCAGGGCCTTTCACAGAGTAGGCATTTAATAATGTCTGCTGAACTGACCCACTTGCCCACCAGAGCTCTTGGCCCACTGGGAGCCAGCTGATGAGGTATCTTGGGCTTCCAGTGGTCTCTACCTTGGAATCCTTTAACCAAGGACACCTGGCTAGTGGATAAAGGGTCGGAGTCTAAACCTGCTTCCAAGGTGGGTGGGTTCTAGTCCTGCGTCTGAGACTGGCTTGGTGGCCCTGAGCAAGTCACGAGCTCTCAGATGCACATCCTCCCACAGGAGGATCCCCACACTAATGAGCGTAGGGAGTAGCGCTGGGAGCCAGTTCTGAATAGGATGGCGGGGGAGTCTCTTGTCCAGCAGCTGCCATGGAAAAGGGCTGGAATCTTGCTCAAGGGGGATGGGCCTTCAAGCAAGGTGCTACCAGAAGGGAAGAGCCAGCCTTGACTGAATTGTCAGTGACTTGGAAGCAACTGGGAATGTGCTAATCCTCTCCTTGCCTCTTCTCCCTTCTCATCCGCCAGCTATCTGCTGTTCTGAATGTCGATGACCATGCCTGCGCCCCTTGCAAAGCTGTCTGGGAGGGATTTCCAAGGCACTGCTCTTCCCCATTTTTCTCAACAGGACCTTCTGGCTCTTCTCTTTGTCTCTTCTGCCCACAAGACACTCAAGATGCTGCTGGCATATGCCCTTGGTAAGTGAATAACTTTCATGGAGATCTCTCCACTTCAGAGCTCTCTCCAGCCAATCTCGTCCTGCCTCTTCTCCCATTTGACACACATCACGTTGCAGATACTCAAACATCACCTGGAAACTAGATGGCACAGCATGCTACTGAGGAAAGAACCCTGAGTTCACTGTGCAGTTATGCCACCTGCTAGTTGCGTGACCTTGGAATAGTCATTTCATTTCTTTGGGCCTCAGTTTCCTTCTCTGTAAAATGAGGGGGTTGGGTCAGATGACCTCTAAGGTCCTTTCCAGCTCTCGATCTAAAAGTCTATAACCAATGTGGTAAAGGCATGACTCCTTGGCCCCCTCCCAGACCTTCCCCTTCACCTCACATCCCCATTTCTGTGGTGTAACTACAACTCATCTCCACTGCAGCCTACCCTTCGCTCGCTCCTCCCCGGATCACTGCCCCTGGAGCCCAAAGTCATGGAATCTCCTGGGGACTTCCTTGCCCCAAACCAGGTTCCCAGCCCTAAGCCTGGTGTCCCCTACCACAGCTGACCCTCTCCGTTTTGTCTGTCTCCCTCCCTTTTGTCTGTCTCCCCTGTTCCAGCTGCGGTGAAAGGTCACCAGCAGTGGGCAGTATCTTTGATGGGAGTGTGGCTGGCACATAAAGGGGGCAGCCTGGAGGCCATCCACTCAGGACTGGTAGAGCAAATGAAGCTGCCTACAGAATCGGAGGGCGTGACCCCAGCCAGGGATTTGGAGAGTGTCAGAGCTGGGCAGGTATCCCTTCATTTAATAGAAGAGAAAACTGAGGCCAGGAGAGGGGAAGTGACTTACTTGCCCAAGTTCCCACAGCTGATACATGGCAGGACCACATAGTAGAATTAGGGGTAGCCAGGTGGATACCAGATGAAGTTGAGAAGACCTGAGTTCAAATGTGACCTTCAACACTAACTAGCTGTGTGACCCTGGGCAAGTCACTTAACTTTGTTTACCTCAGTTTCCTCAACTGTAAAATGGAGATAATAATAGTACCTATCTCCCATTGGTCTTGTGAGGGTCAAATGGGAATCTAGCACATAGGAGGCACTATACAAATGTTAGCTATTTTTAGAATCCACATCTACTAATTCCTAGTCCTGAGTTCTCTCCGCTTCACCATCCTACCTTCCCTTAAAAGAGACCTTTGCTTCACTCTATAAAAAGAGAACCTCCCAAATTTGAATGTGACACCCCCCTGGGCAGCCTGAAGCCATCTACTTTTACTGATGCTCAGTGTGGACTGTAACATATCTACAGATTCTGGGGGAAAGGGAGACACCTTTCAATGTCTTTTTAAAAAAAGCTATCGTCTCCTACGAGGTGGGCTCCTCTGTGATACGGCGAGCTTGAGAAGGCTGTGCCCGCACAGGCAGACTGCCCCGTGTGAAAGCCAAGGTCGGAGCGGTGCCTCACCCATTTCTAGGTTCCTGCCTCTTGTATGGGTGCACGCAATGAAACATGGATCTGGAAGCTGACAGGGAGCTAAAGAAAGTTATGTTTGATTGAGATGAAATGGCCCAAATTTCAAATGGAAGAGAAAGAGACTAGGAATAATGCCAAGAGGCTGATGCTTTGGTCGTTAATCTGAGGAGAATCCATCTTTGCTATGGGACTAGAGAGGCATGGTGCAGCAATGCCCCTGGACGTGGAAGCAGGGAGACTGGGGTTCAAATCTCACCTCTAACACTCCCAGAGTGACCCTAGGCAAGCCATCTCACTTCTTGGAGACTCGGTTTTCCATCTGTAAAATGGGGATAATAACAGCACCAATCTCATAGAGTTCTGGTGAGGCTCAAATGACAAAATATATAGAAAACACTCTCTACGGAGATATCAGCTATTTTTCTATACTAGTTCAACCACCATCATTTTACCAATTGAGGCTCAGAGAAGGAAAGAGATCAGCCCAGGCCACCAAGGGAATTCAAAGCAGAGCTAGTACTTGGACTTGGCCCTTCCCCCTCCCCCTTCCCCCTCCCCCTTCCCCCTTCTTTCTCCCCTCTCTCCCTCCTGCTCCCGCCTGCTCTGCTAAAATGTCTTTCTTTGGGGCAGCTAGGCGGAGCAGTGGATAGAGGACCGGCCCTGGAGTCAGCAGGACCTGAGTTCAAATCTGGCCTCAGACACATGATCCTCACTAGCTGTGTGACCCTGGGCAAGTCACTTAACCCCAACTGCTTTGAAAAAAAAAAGTCTTTCTTCTCTCGAGTTTCACAATAGCCCTATATGCAAAGAGGGACCTCCACACTGATTTCCGGAGCTCCTTCCCTGGCACCTCAGCCCTCTGACCCTGGATACCACACACCTCTGGCCTGTTGGACATGTCAATCTCAATGACACTCTGATTCAAAGGCTACTTCCCTACAGACTTACAGACCCAGAGGAGCCCAAGTCCTTCCCTGCACCCCAGTTTCCAAGCTTCTTCTGTGCTTGTCCCTTTTCCCAAATGCTTCTTCTGCTCAATTCACTTCTCTTGCTCTGCTCTAGGAGCTGAGTTGGGAGCTGGCGGGATTCAGGTGGGAAGGGGTGGCAAAGGCAAAAGCCAGACAGTTCTCTTCCCTGCCCCTGCCCCTGCCCCTGCCCTCTCTGATGGAAGGAAGCAGACACTGGAGCCAACGACAGAACGTCAAAACCAGATGGGGGGGCAGGCAGGGCTAGGATTGAAGTCAGGGCCAATTTTCTCACCTCTGGAGCTGTCCAGAAGAGGAGTGGGCTGCCCCGAGGATGCGAGGGCTTTCCTCTCCCTGGGGGCCTGCCGGCCCTGCCTGTTATGCTGGGGTGGGGGGCACTCTTACATACCCCCTAGATGCCAGGTGCCTTGCTAGGCTCCTTGGGGCCATACAGGCAAAACCAAAGCAGCTGGCCACTAAAGAGGTCCCTCCGTCCCTTCAGATTCTCAGGGCTAGATTCGGAGTCAAAGGACCTGGTTTTCAGTGAGGACTCTGCCAGCTACTCTCTGAGTGACATTGGGCAAGGCTTTTCCTCCCCCTTTCTGGGCCTCAGTTTCCTTATCTGCCAAGTGAGAAATGTGGACTAGAAAGCGTCTAAGGTCCCTCCCAGCTCTACATCTCTCACCCCATACTGTCCCTGTCCCTCCCCCCCTTCTCACCACGCCCCCATCTCTCTTCCTTCGCTCCTCTCCTTCAATCCTCCAGAGACGGGGCGAAGAGTTTAACCTCGGACTTCTTTTTCCAAAGGAGTCATAGAGGGAAGAGAACGGGAGGGGAAAGGAGCCCGAGCCCGTGCAGGGGCAGGGGCAGGGGCAGGGGGCTGGCCGGGTGCCCGACGAGCCTCCAGAAGGGAGGCACTGAGCGGACTGCTTGGTCTCTAGTGCGAGCCTGGGGCGCAGGGTCGGGGGTAGGAGCCGCCTCAGAGGACAGGAGCCCCTGACCTTGGTCCTAGGGGGTGGGCGTGGGGGCAGGCTTAGCCTCAGACACCAGAGTTCCCTCTTACCCTGAAGGCTGGCAGGCTCGGCGTTCAGAGGCTCACAGGGAAGGCACTTGCCAGAGTCGTACCGGGCTGGGCTCAGAGCCGCCTCTGGCTCCTCTGCCGCCTGGGGTCGGCCAGTCGGGGGTCCGTCTGGGGTCCGTCTGGGCGTTGGGAGCTCCGAGGCCAAGTTCTCCAGGCTGGGAGGGGCTGGCCAAGCTGCTCCTTTAGCTGAGAGGGGAAAAGTCCGCCCACCTCCTGAGGGTCATTGACGCAGGCTCCTCCCGCCTCCTACCACGTCCGCCCGCCCAGGGCCCCCCCCCCCTTTCTCTCCCCTCCCCCTCAACTCCAGGCTCTCTGGTCTCTGAAGCCCAACCAGCTGCCTCGACAATAATAGTTTCTACGACAGTTTATCGATCTGGAGTCGGAAGGGACCATCACACTCATTTGACAGAGTAAACTGAGGCCAGAGAAGGGAAATGCCTTGCCCAAGGTCATACAGAGAGTAAATGACAGAGGCAATATTTGAACCCGGGTTTCAAAGGATCAGAGAAGTAGAGTTGGGAAGGCCCTTAAAGGTCACCGGTGCAACTCTGTCCACATCGTTAGAGCTTCCATACTGTCAGGGACAATCAGATTTTCTGTAACAGTCTGTAGCCGCAGAGACAGAAAGGAATTTAGAGATCATCTGGGTTTTCACCCTCATTTTACAGAGGAAGATACTGAGGCCCAGGGCAGTGAAGGTCATGTAGATAATACTCGGTGTAATAAATGAAGGGATCTGACTCTAAGAATTCAAAGGGGCTCTGGGTTCAAAGACTGCTACTGCTCTGTGTGACCTCGGGAAGTTTTCTTAACTTTTCTGGGCCTTGGTTTCTTTATTTGTATCAAAAGCCCTCTACAGTGCCTGCCAGTGCCAAATCTCTGATCCTAAGTGGTAGAGGCAGGGATTTGAACCCAAGCATTCCTGGCTCCACCAGCCAGCATTCTGTCCACTGTGCTGCATGGTTCCAGAGGCTGACTTCTTGGGAAGCAGGAAGTACAAGTCTTATTATCCCCATTTTACAAAGGAGGAAACTGAGGCCCAGAGAGGGTCACACAGCTAGCAAGTGGCAGAGTCTGAATTGAAACTCTAAATCCACACGCCTTACCAAAGCTGTGCACAGAAAACTATTCAAACAGGAAACGATCAGTTTCCCAAAGTGAGTACGTGGGGGGTTGGTGTGAAGCAAACTTCCACCTTCAGCCACTCAGAGTCTGGAGAGGTCTCAGCCGTTACTCAGGCCACTCTTCTACACCCAGCAGATACTGGGCTGGGCCAGGATTTGAATAAGGTGCAGAGGCCTAGCTTCTAGACTAAAGTGCCAATCTCCTGACCCACTCCCAGGTCGGGGCTCTCTCCACTGTGTATGAAGTCCCACCCTGACTCCTGGCAGCTCTGCTCAGCCTGACTGAAGTTGGGCACTAGTGCCCACTGTCACAGAAAGTCAGCCTTCTGCAAAGCTGTGGCGAAAAGAGCTAGACTGGGTGCCAGCAGGAGGCTACAGGGAGAGCCAGAGGTGCCCGCTCTCTACCTGGCGGCCCTGAGGTCATCAGAGCAGAGGATAGTGGCCGCAGAAACCTCCATGTGGAGGCCTAGAGAGATGAAGGGCTTTGCCCAAGGCAGGGAATGCCAGAGGCAGGATCTGAATCCAAGTCCTGGGAATCCAAGACCACTGCTCTTCCCACTCTCCCCTCTTTGAGTCTCAGTCTCCTCATCTCCAGACCTTTAAGGGTCCTCCCAGCTCTATGTGGCTTATGCCCATGACTCCTGAAGCAATGGATGGTCCCACACAGGTTCATTTAGCTCTCCCTGTGCCACATGTGGGAGTCTGGGGTCCACAGAGACATGACCCATGGACCAGCCTCCTCCAGCACAGTCCTGAGCTCCAGATGAGCCTGGAATTCAGCTAGTGCCTCCAAGTTGGCACTGCCTTTAGGAGGTTTGATTATCCCCATTTTTCAGAGCTGGAGTGACTTGCCCAAAGTCAACATTGAAGCATCCAGGGTCTGAACCCAGGCCTTCCTGACTGAAGTCAGGTCAAGCTTCCAAGCCACAGAGGGCCTGAGATGGCAGGGGGACAGTCTCAGGACTCTCCATTTTATTTCCCCACTGTTTCCTATGATCCAGCCTGCCGTGATCCAGGATGCAAACCCCTGGGACGCTCACTGTTTCTGTAGCTTGCTGGGCCCCTAGTTTCACTGTATAGAACAAACATGGACTTGTGATTACTGCCCAGAAAAAGGCACCTGATGTCCTCAGGAGACACATCTTCTGATTTAGGTTGGAGTCTCCCTCACTCCAGATCAATGAGCTCAGAGAATCTCACCAACCATGGCTGGAGGCCATCTTTGGCACAATGGCTTAGAAACTTCTCTGGGCCATGCATGACTCAGCCACCATCCCAGAGGGCACAAGAGTAGCCCAGACAAATCAGCTGCCATCCCAGAGGGCACAAGATTAGACCGGACAAATGGCCTGTTTCCTTGGCCATTGGAAAGACCAAAGGTTTAGGCCTCTCTGTTTGCCAGGGGCATGACTCACCCCTCCCTCCATTAGCTCCCCTCCTCCCACCTCCCCTACTTCTAGTGAGGACACTGCCATCCTCTCAACCATCCAGTTTTATAAACTGAGAGACTTCCTGGACTCTGCTTTTTCTTTTCTTTTTTTTAATCTATTTTTTATTAGTTTATTTTGATTTATCAACAATTACTTCCATAAGCTTTTTTTTTTAATTTTTTGGGGGGTTAGGCAATGGGGTTAAGTGACTTGCCCAGGGTCACACAGCTAGTAAGTGTTATGTGTCTGAGGCTGGATTTGAACTGAGGTACTCCTGAATCCAGGGCCAGTGCTCTATCCACCGCACCACCTAGCTGCCCCTTTCCATAAGCTTTTGAGTTTTAAATTTTTCTCCCCCTCCTTCCACACCTCCCTCCCCAAGATGGTATGCAATCTGATGTAGGCTATACATATACATTCTTATTAAACATATTTTCACATTAGTCATATTGTAAGGAAGAATTAGAGCCAATAGGAGGAACCACCAGAAAGAGCAAACAAAACACAACAGAAGAAAAAAATAGCAAATTGCTTCTATCTGCATTCCAACTCCATAGTTCTTTCTTTGGATGTGGAGAGCATTTCCCACCATGAGACTTTTGGAGATGTCTTAGATCCTTGCATTGATGAGAAGGGCTAAGGCTGTCAAAGTTATTCATCGCCCAGTGTTGTTGTTACTGTGTACAACGTTTTCCTGGTTCTGCTCACTTCACTCAGCATCAGTCCATACAAGTCTTTCCAGGTTTCTCTGAAGTCTGCCTGCTCAACATTTCTTATGGCACAGTAGTATTCCATTACATTCATACACCACAACTTGTTCAGCCATTCCCCCATTGATGGGCATCCTCTCAACTTCCAATTCTTGGCCACCACAAAAAGAGCTGCTATAAATATTTTTGTACATGTGGGTCCTTTTCCCATTTGTTTGATCTCTTTGGGATACAGCCTTAGAAGTGCTATTGCTGGGTCAAAGGGTATGCACATTTTTATAGCCTTTGGGCATAGTTCCAAATAGCTTTCCAAAATGGTTGGATCATTTCACAACTCCACCAACAATGCATTAGTGTTCCAATTTTACCACATCTTCTCCAATATTTATCATTTTCCTGTTTTGTCATGTTAGCCAATCTGATAGGTGTGATGTGGTACCTCAGAGTCATTTTGATTTGCATTTCTCTAATCAATAGTGATTTAGAGCATTTTTTCATATGACTATAGATGGCTTTAATTTCTTCATCTGAGAACTGCCTGTTCATATCCTTTGACCATTTATCAATTGGGGAATGGACTCTGCTTTTTCCCTTACCATTCTGATTAACTAAATTAGTAAATTAACATTAACTAAAAAGGTTTCCAAGAGATGCAGTTACAAGTGTGCTTCTCCAGACAGGAGCCTTCAACTTCATACTCTGACTTCCCGCCTTCCAGCTTCAAGACCATGTCCTCTGACTTATGCCCCTCCGCGTGGGCACAGTGGTTCATAGCGACACTTGGGCTCTGGGTGCCTCTGGCTCGGGGAGTACGGGTTGGAAAGTTGTTGATTCTACCTCCTCAAATCTTCTCTCAGGGCAGCTAGATAGCACAGTTGATAGAGCTCTGGGCTTGGAGTCAGGAAGACCTGCATTCAAATCTAACCTCAGACACTTCCTGGCTGGTAATTCTGGGCTAGTCACTGAACCTCTGTCTTAATTTCCTCAACAGTAAAATTTGGATAATAATAGCATGTATCTCCCAGGGTTGTTGTTCATTCATTCAATGAATATTTATTAAATACTCACTATGTGCCAGGCACTGTGCTAAACTCTGGAGGAAAGAGGAAAATGACAGTTCTTGCCCTCAAGGAAGATCAAATGAGATAATATTTGTAAAGTACTTGGCACAGTGCCTGGCACATAGTAGGTGCTTAGCAAATGCTTATTGCCTTCCTTTCCCCTTCTCTCCATTAACATAATCTCTAACCTCAGTCAGGCCCTCATTATCTCTTGTCTAGGCAACCTCCTCCATGGTCTCCCGGCCTCCAGGCTCTGTTCTCTCAAATTTGGCCTCCATATAGCTACTAAAATTTTTCTAAAGCATAGCTCTGATCAGGCCATTCACCTGCTCAAGAAGCTTTGTGCCTCCCTGTGGTTTCTGTGATTCGATACAAACTCCTCTGCTTGGCATTTAAAGCCCTTCCAAAGCTGGCTTTAGAATAATTTCCTTTTCTCTTTTGAAATTTGATATCAATACTCTTTTGGAGAGATTATTTCCCAATGACTCCCCCCTTCTACCTATCCCCACCACCAATAGATAGAACCCTCTGACAAAGAAATATGATTAAGTAAAACAAACTGACACATTGGTCATGTCATTGCACACCTCTAGCCCATCACCTCTCTGAAGGAGTAGAAGGCATGCCTGGTTCACTATCACTCCCCTGAAGTCACAGTTGGTCACTGCATTGATTCAGAAGTCTTTTGAGGTTGTTTTCCTTTCTGTTATTGTAGTCATTATGCAAATTATACTCCTGGTTCTGCTTATATCACTTTGCATCAGTTCATACAGACAGCTCTTC